ATGCTTGTCGGACAAATTATGGGACACTTTAAGTATTCAATAAACTTCCAATCAAAATGTGCAAGACTCGAGTTTTCTCACGCTATCCGATTGAAAGATAGTTGATTAGGGGCAGTTGTTGTAACCCAAATTTGTCCTATCCCGATGATTCTATTTTCCAAGATCAAAATAATAAAGAAACGTTTAACTAAGGATGGTACAACAATATCTGATGGCCCATTCTTAATATTTAAGTCAACCAGGGGGTATTTTAATTAAGGAGAATGGGGCTATCTGAATCAGAGAAACTCATGTATCCGTGAATCCATTCGCAAGGCATGTTGGTCATTGGCCCATGCGATCCGTAAATGGAGATTATTGGAGTAACTATAAAGTTCTACATCATTAAATAGTTGCTAATAGAAGGGAGGTTGAAATTAAATTAAGGCTTCTCAAGTTTAAATTGTATAAGCTTATTTAGGTTAAGTTGATTTTTGTAAAAAATTGGGGGGTGAAGTTACAAATAACAGGCCCAGTAAGGTTTTGCAAGTTGGCCCATTGGTCTTGTTGGGATTTTTGTTGTCTCATTTTCAAAAAAAGAAACATTATCATTAAAATTGCTTGTTGCTATTATCTTAATTCAAAAAATATATAATAAATTATATATATATATATATATATATATATATATATATATATATATATATATATATATATATATATATATATATATATATATATATATATATATATATATATATATATATATATATATATATATATATATATATATATATATATATATATATATATATATATACACCTTTAAGAAAACATGGTGTATTTTTCTATTGCTGTTAGACTTTTCATAACCATTAATTTCTGTTTATTGGGAAATTGTTGTGTTCGAAAAAGGATTTGTTGGACCAAAGTTAGGCCCAACTGGCATTGAAGAAAAAAGCGCATGACATATTAAAACAAAAACATAAAAATTAGGCCAATTGATGTCAAAAAATATAGTTTGCAGTCCATACTGGGCTAAAATAATTAACTAACGTAAGGCCCAAAAACTATTATTGTATCAATCACACGCGTTTTCACTCCACAAACAGCTATTGTTCAAATTTAATCCGCAAAACTAAATTTACAGCAAATCACAAATTACCAGAATCAATCCAAACACTATAACAATCAATCTCATAATCAAATCGCATAATAACAAAATCCGGAAGAAATATTATTACATTAATATTACAGAAACAACCTAAAAGATCTAAAACAAGACTATTACAAATAATCAGAATCAATTAACAAGTAAATTAAAATCCCTGATTTTGTTCTAAATTTAAGTTCTAACTGAAAATGCTTAAAACCCTAACTAATTGTTACGCCAACCCTAAAATACTAACTATATAAATAAACAGAAAATGAATACAGAGGAGGTTTTTTGACAGAAAACAGGGGAAAGATTCTGGGACGGAAAATTGAAGAAGAGCCAGAGACGGAGAGATTGAAGGAAAGAAAATCTTGAAATCAGCAAGGACTAAGGACCAACCCTTTGGCCGTTGAAAGACCGGAAGAGGAGGCGATTAGAGTTTCCGGATCGGAAAACCCTAATTGCTATCACCGCCGCCTCCCTTGCCTAATCGTGAGCCGCCACAACTACCTTCGCCATCGCCATCGTTGAGCGCCATTACCTACAGATCGAAAGGGAGGAAGGAGATAAGTAACAAAAACGCAACAAACAACAGTGATCGGAGGTAAAGCATAACTTAGCTTTTGATATTGATGCTTTGTTGTTATTTGGGGTGTTGGGATTGGGTTGACAGTAGGAGAAGAAGTACGGTTGTGCCGCCGTGAGGTTGGGGGCGCTAGGGTTTTGAAAGGTGAAGATGAAAGGGTGTCCACTGAGAGAGAAAGAAAGAGACGAGCTTTCTGTAAAATGAAGATGAAAATGAATAAAAAGAAATTATGTTATCTGTTCGTATCCTATGTTCGTGCGCCCACAATAACAATCGTGTTCCTTTGCTGTTAGCCATCAGATTTTAATCAGGCGGTCGTAAGGCCAAGCCACATGATAAGATTCATACACCCGCGCACACACAATCAGCCTGCCTCCTTCAAAAATCCGTAATGGGCTTAGGCCCACTGCTGTTTGCACCCTTTCACCTCTATTTACTAAATGCAACAATAACCTACAACCCCCCTCCCCTGCCTGGACCATTCTGGGCCTAGCCCAACTTACTATTATCATCCCCCCTGTTTTACTTGGTAACAAGAAATTGCACCCCCTAGATTAACTTAAATTGTTATTTTTTTTATTTTTTATATTATTTTTCATATTATATTTTATATTAAGTATTTATTTATTTTTTTCATTTATAATTATTATTATTATCATTAATTTTTATTATCATATTTTAAATATTATTATTATTATTATTATTTATTATATTTAAATATTATTATATGATCAAATAAATCATTTTCATTCAAAAATTCATATATTATTTTCTCATATATTGCATTAAAATTTTTTTTAATCATGCATTAATCAAGATTTTCGCAACTAATACAATTAAAAAACACAAACAAATCTCAAACTATTTTTCGCAATAAAACTAAACTAATCAACAGTCTTTTTGCAAATGGGTTTCAACTAGTTTTGGCTTACTTCGCATTCAGTCAAAATCTCCGCAATCACTACTCCCGACCGAGTGCGAAGTGATTCAAAATATGTTTGCAAACCCCTAAAAAACACCAACCCATACGAACTACGAATTGGGACTCTGATTCCTCATAAGAGGATTCGTAGGCATATGATAAAAAATCGTAGCGAGTTCTCCTATAAAAAAATTAAACCCTTTCCCCTATTGAAAAATTAGGACACCTTTCTTGCTAATTAAAACTTAAAACCCTGTTTACCCCAAACCTATAGATTAATATCCTTGTGTACAAGGTGAATGAAAGGTTCCTAACACCTTCCTTTCATCTAATTGAGTCTGAAACCTAGAATCTCTGTCTGCGAATTAGAGTTTTCTGTTAGGTTCCCTTCCCAAGGATAAAAACTAATAGTGGCGACTCTTGATTAAAAAACTAGTTGCTACAAATAGAACCAACTATTTAATATGTCAAAAGTCCAATGAAGAATAAAGAAACATTTTTCATTGTTTTTCTTCCATTTTTCTTTTCTGTTTCATCTTTGATGTTTTCCTCTATATTTTTTTTTATTTTCTGTAAATTTCTTTCTCCCTTGTAATCCGTTCCTCCCCATTTTGTAGTTTGTTTTAGGTTTTTATAGATTTTTTTTAGGATTATAGTTTTTAGGAAAGAATTAAGCTTGTCTGTAAATTAAATTAGGGTTTGATATTTGTCTGTAAAATGAATTGATTGTATTTGGATAACTTAATTAGTTTTCGTATCCGTTTCAAGCTGTATTGATTTTGTTCCTGGAAAAAGAAAGTTAATTATAATGTTTTATATTGATTATAAGTTAATCATTTCTTCCTTGATTGATACAGTAATGGTTTAAAGCAAACAAAAAAACGTCTATTTTATTGTTCAATCAAAACAGTGTTTGTTAAAGAAAATTTGGGTCAGCCCTGTAAATGTGTTTAGACTGTGCATTTTCTAAATTGGGTTGGGCTTCAATTTCTTTTGGCCTTTTAGTCAAAACAAAATTCAAACTAAGAAATATAATTTCAATAATAATGTTTAACAATAATAATAAATTATTATTCATCTTAATAATAAGGACATGGTCATAAAATAAAAATGTTGACTTGGTCAACAACAAAATGGCAAAAGCTGACTGGGCCTTCGGACAAAAAGCAAAATGGGCCTCTAACAAAAAAAGAATTCTTACCGGGCCAAGAGCTTAAAAATGATCTTTCTGAACTTTAAAAAACCCACCATCTTTTAATTAATACAAGAAACCCCTATGTAATAAAATGATCATCTTTATTTTGTTCATTAATACAAGAAACTCCTATGTAATAAATGGACTTTTGATCTAAAAGGTCTTTACAAATAAATTAGTATGGGCTAGTATAAAAAACATTTTCAAATGTGTCTCTTTCTATAAAAATGTGTCTCCCTTAAAAGGAATAAATCCTTGATGGACCATCGGACATTGATGGTCCATCTTAAATCAATACACCTCTTTTTCTATTTTAGATCCCTATAAAAATAGATAATATAATTTATTTAAAAAAATTAAATATAAATATGAAATTAGGACAAGTTTAGGGTATGACACCTTCTTTATTCTTCGCCAATAAATCTTCTTCGTCTTTAAATTTTGCATGGTAAACGCCTTACTTTCATTCACATGCCCCTAGCAGGGTCATGCCGTCAAAATTAGTTTGACTTTTTAAATTTTAATGATTCATTTCTTCAATTCTATGACTTTTTAACATATATGTTCTTTTAGCACTAGTATTATCCAATAAATTATTAGTTTTAATTTTTTTTTACTGAATTTAATTTAGTTGTCACTGGTAATAAAACAATAAACATGTTCACAATATTTGCTCAAAGATGAGATTTACATTAAATTTGCTAATGCAATAACATAGTTTACTATTAATTTTTTTACTTGTGAAAGACATATGTACACTAGTTGGTTTCACAACAATCTTCTAATCACACAACCATATACAATCTTCATAATAATAACTAATCCAATTTAATACCAATCTAATCATGTAATTAATTTGAAACCTTCAATTGGAGTAATGATTAATCCACTGTAAACACATCCCTAATTTGCACATTTTTGTTGATTCACAAGTGAAATACTTATGAATATATTCATTAGACCCTAATGCTCAAGAAAAAGTGGCTATATGTATTAGGTCCAATTCATAAGCTCTTGCTTGGGATTAAAGTTTGAATAACCTACACAAAGAGAAGTGTTTGTGCTATTTATAAAATTATACATTTACAAATAATTTCTCTCAAAAATTGAAACTTCTAATCTGAGAAAAATAGAAGACAGACTTGAGTTATTTTCTTCCTCTTCATTGTTGATCATCTTTATTTTGTTCATAAATGAACTGAGAAAACAAAGCCACAAGAATAGCACCAAGAACTGCAACTCTTTTCCAATCAGTACTACTTAAAGATGAGACATTAATAGAACCAACTATTCCATATGTCAAAAGTCCAATGAAGAATAAAGAAACATTTTTCATTGTTTTTCTTCCACTTTTCTCTTTTGTTTCATCTTTGATGTTTTCCACTTCTTCTTTAGCTTTTGCTTTATCAACGTTAGACCCTTTCTGTCCTAAGTTCTTAAAGAATAGTCCTTCATTTCTGTCAACTTCCATTTGACCTTCAAGTTCCATTACTTTGCTTTCACTCTCCTCAATCTCTTGTTTGTTTAGTTCATTAAATTCCTCAAATGCTAGCATCTGGGTTTCTATGTTTGCTGTTATCTGTACAATTATAAGTTAACTATAAAACATCGACACAAACACATATATCAGACACAATACTATCACAGATATATTGACACTCATACGGATTTCAAACACAATTATTAACTTAACTGTAAAACATTGACACACACATGTATCCGACACGATATGTTAACACTAATAAAGATGTCAAATAGGATAGTAACACAAATATATTATTGCTATTAAGTTAACTATAAAACATTGGTACTGACACAGATATCAGACACAATATTAAAACAAATATGTTGACGTTGATACAAATATCAGACGTGATAAAAACACAAATATATTAAGTTAACTATAAAATATTGATCATAACGCGGATATGAGACACAATCCTAACACAAATATGTTCACATGATACAAATATCAAACAAGATACTAACTCAAATATGCTATTAAAGTTAACTACTAAACATATACATGGACACAAATATACTAACACAAATATGCTATTAAGTTAACTATAAAACAATGACATAGACACAATACTAACACAAATATGTTGACAGTGGAACGGCTGTCAAACATGATAGTAATATAAATATATTATTAAGTTAATTGTAAAACATTGACACAAACACGAATATCAAATACGGTACTAACACATATATATTGACACTGATACGGATGTCAGACAAGATAGAAACACAAATATATTATTAAATTTACTATAAAATATTGACACAAAAACATATGTCAGACACATTATTAAGTTAACTATAAAACATTATCAAAGACACATACAAAGATATAAAACACAATACTAACACAAATATGTTGACACTGATACATATATCAGACACGATATTATCACAAATATGTTATTAAGTTAACTATAAAACATTGACAAGTACACATATATCAGACACGATACTAATATAGATAAGTTGACACTGATACGGATATCAAACACGATACTAACACATATATGTTAACACTATAAAAAATGTAAAAATAAAAAGTGGAAAGTGCATACATACTCTATCACTAGCTTCATCCAATCCTTTAAGAGCATCTTCACCAATCTTATCAATCTCGGCTTTAGCTTCTTCACCAAACTGTGTCAAGTATTCAGATCTCTCATCCAAAAAATCCGTTAGACGAACTTTTTGTGTCTGAATCATTGCAATTTGAGCCAATAACTCTTGGCTTTGAACATCACCTTCAGGTTTTGAATTACTATCAGATTTATCATTGGAGTTGTTGGTGCTACAGAGACACAGGAAAACAGAACTTCTTCCGGCTGTGTTGTGAGGGTGGTGCAGAGTAGTAAAAGTGAAGGTGTTGGTAGAAATATAGAAAGAAGGGAGAAATATGGTTTTGAGGGGAATCATCTTCTCGGTGAGAGAAATATGGATCTTATGTTTCTTAGTATATATTATCCATTGTATAATTATATATTTTTTAATTTAAATATTCAAATATTTAAGAAATATTTAAATAAATATATTTTTCATTGTATAATTATATATTTTTGGATTTAAATATTTTTTTACTTAAGTTTTTATATAAAATATGTCCATAATAAAATTGATCTCGGTAATTAAAGTGGCAAAATAGGCTTTGATCCGTCAGTCTGTATACTTAAAATAATGGGTTGGATTGAGATTTTGGACTCATCGTCCCCTAAAATCCGCCCCACTAAAAACAGCAGCCTACCAAAGTCCGCTCTACCAAAATCTGTCGTTTAGCAAAGTCTATCGCATATATTCGTTCACCTTGTCTCACTTTAATTTTATTTTTTTAGTTAATTTTAGTAGGTCTAATTTTTGATGATTTTATTTTATACATTTATTTGTGAATATATGCAATATTGTTTAAATAAATTTTGTTAAAAAAATATTTTATAAAAAAATATTTTAAAAAATAATTGAAATATAAAAAAAAAATCTTTTAATATATTAAAAAAGAAAAATAAATAAATAAAAAAATAAGTGGACAAATCTGCCGCATGTGACCTTGACGGGGTGAACTAGTTTTTTATACTCATTTTCATTTGGCAAACTTGTCCGTTCCTCTCTTTTTAAAATAGATTTAAGATGGAATAGGACGGAGCAGGACGGATGATCTATTTTATCAACTCTATCGATAATAGCTAGAATTTTTAACTTTTTTCTTTATAAGAAACGTTAAAATAAATAATATAAAAATTAATTTTAATATAAGACTTAAATAATCAATTAAATCATATAAGTTGGCGTTTTTTTATTTTTTTATTTTTTTAAAATAATCTTTGAAAGTTGAATTACATTTGATTTTAGTTTCTAAAGTTAAAATTAACAGATTTTTTTACTAATTTTAATTTTAATAATTAAAACTAAAATAAAATAAAATATTTAAAAAATTTATCCAAAAAAAAATAGAGAATAAAAACACGTTAACTTTTAAAGTTAATTGATTATCATTTTAAACCTTAATATAATAATTTTACAATGGTTAAAATAAAAGAAAACTAAAAAGTTAACAATTTGTAAAGAAATTAAAAAAAAGAGTCAAAAATAGAAAGAAAGACATGATAAATTTGTAAAAATTAAAAATATATTTAAATTTATAGTTTAGAGCTAAATGTTCTGTCGAGTTAAATGTGATTTGAAAGTTTATACTATGTGAAAATGTTAGTGTAAATCTCACTTTTAATCTAATATGTGAGTCAATTATGAGAAACTCTCTTATAACACTAATAGTTCTTCATTTTTTAATTTATAATTTTCTTAAAAAGTTTATTCCCCAAACAAATTTGGACCCTTTTTACTCTACATATTTTATAGTATTATTTTATTTTCAAAAATTAATGTGTGGTTTCACAAGAGTGTTATTAAAAATTAAAGAAATAAAAACGATCTTTGAGGACTGATACAAGGATTATCACGAAGTAAAACTTTTCAAAACAATCACACACAAGTAATTTTGAAAAATGAGCAAGTACCTAAGAGCCCGTAGATAACTACGGATAGAAAGGGTGCTAACACCTTCCTTTTCTATAATCTACCTCCCGTACTCAGAATATCTCGAAAAAAGGTTTTTTCTGTTCTTTTTCCTTTTCCATGATTAGATGAAATAAATGTCGGTGGCGACTCTTGCTTACCGCGATATTTTGCGAACAAAAAACGCAAAACGTAAACCAGTAAAAATATTCGGTTCTGCCACTGTATCGCAGAACTGACGACTCTGCTGGAGAAGTAGAATAAAATGGGGTTTACCTTAGGATCTAGGTCATTAAAATTGCTTCTCTTGATTGTCTTGATTGCTTTACTTTTGAAGGTTTGTTTGGGGTTACTATAGATCCTACACCCGGATCTGGGGGCACTCATTAGGTAAATAGCAATAGATCGTGGAGACTGTACGACGTAGATCGATATGGTTTAAGCGATGGTTGTGTTAGTTTGGCACTTTGGTTGGTACTGGTATCCTTCGCGGGAAAACGAGGAGAATACGGGGCCGCCGCGTGGTATCGTGAAGCACTAACGGGCCTTAGAAACTTAGTTGAACAACTTGGCCATTAGAAATTAGTGAGATAGCCGGCCTCGGTGTAGAGTTGAGAACTGGTTGATACTCGATGCTACACTCATTGAGATCAGACTTTCGGGATATTTTGGCCGCAAGAAAAGATTGAGAGCTGAAACAATGCCCGATAAACGATGGTCAGTGATATTGAGAATCTCTAGAACCCGGTTACTTTCTAGGGAAGGTTTGAACCAACTAAACTTCAAGAGGGTACTACCTTTAACCTCATGCAAGCTTTAAACCTAAGGACTTGGTGCGACTTGACTGTGTTTGTTATACTTTTGGTTTATCATGACATCATGCATCATAACATGGCATCCATGCTTATTGCACTAACCATTTCAAAGACCAAGGGAATTTATCTTTGTTCTGTTTTGCAGATTATGGCTTCCGTTCGTAGAAACACTATCCGAATCAGCTTTGTGAAGACACCTTCCCAACTCAAAGAGCTAGCATCAAGGGTTTCTAAAACTTCTACGTTCACTAAGAGACATGGTCAACTTCTCAACCTGGTTACTTCAAACTTTGATGAAAAGATGATGAGTGTACTCTTTCAGTTCTTTGATCCCAAGCACCACTGCTTCACCTTTCCAGACTATCAGTTGGTGCCTACCTTGGAAGAATTCTCTCAGCTATTGGATATACCTATTCTTGAACAGATACCCTTCACAGGTCTAGAATAAGTTCCTAAGCCAGAAGTCATTGCCTCAGCCTTACATCTGAAACGGGCCGACGTGGTATCCAATTGGGAAACGAGAAGCGGGGTCAAGAGTTTTCTAGCTAAGTTTCTGATAGACAAAGCCCAACTGTTTTGAGATGATATGGATTTTCAGGCTTTTGAGCAGGTCTTGGCTCTTCTTATCTATGGTTTGGTTCTCATTCCTAATCCGGACTCATTCGTAGATGTGAATTCTATCAAGATCTTTCTCTCTCGCAACCCGATGCCTACTTTGCTCGGAGATACTTTGCACACTCTCCATACTCGTACCATGAGGAGAAGAGGGATTCTTGTCTGCTGCATGTCATTGCTGTCGAGGTGGTTTATTTCTCACCTCCCTAAGTCCATACTGAAGAATGAAGAAGGTCTGGTTTGGTCACAAAGGATAATATCACTCGCTCATACATATATTCTTTGGTGTTCTCGATCTATGGAAAACATTGCTATCATTGACTGCTGCGGGGAGTACCCTAATGTCCCACGGCTTGGTATCAAAGGGGGTATAACCTACGATCCTTGTTTAGCTCTACGACAATTTGGTCACGCTCGAAGGGATGGTCCCCATGAGTTACTAATCGAGGGTATTGTATTCAACTATGAGGATGATATTCAAGAGTATCACCGGAGGTTCACACGAGCTTGGGGCATGGTAAACAGATCGAGCGTCAGGGCTTTGCGGCCAAAGACTTCCATTCCAATGGAACCTTATCTACAATGGATACGAGCTCGTACTCAGCAGCTTATGATGCCCTATGTGGCTGTTTTTCCAGTGATTATGGAACCCACTACTGAAGAAGGCATTTCTTACACGGTTCTATATCCTTACATGCCCACTGATCTTGGGGAATTACAAAGGTCTTGGATTCAGTTGATGAAAGAACAAGATACTTACAGGGATCAGTTCCATGATCAGGAGAGGAAGGTCTTAGAGCTCACAAAGCAACTCCATGAGGAAAAAGGACTAAATAATTATCTCGGCACGAAGAGGAAGCATCCATGGGACTTTTGATTTTCTTTTCTAGTTTTAGATCTATTTTTTGTAACGCCTAAAAGGCATTTGAACTTCAAATTCAGCTAATAAAGTTTTGTTTATTTTGGTTTGCAAATTTAAATTTCCCGAAGTCTTTGAAATCATTGCATGCGCATCCCATTATCATACACATCATTACAGGTACCATTACAGGTTTCTCATCTCCTTCGCTGTTTATTTCAGCAGAAATGTCTTCCGAGCAAAGCATTAAGGACCTACAGGCATAGAACGCCCAGTTCCAACAAATGTTCATCAGTCTGGAAAAGGGGCATGAGGATATGAAAACCCTCATTCTGAAAGAGAAGAAGAAAAAGAAGAAGGCTACTGGTATTATGAACATGGTCCGAAGGTCTGGAGAACGGTTGAAGCGACAAGTCGACCTGACCTCTTCATCTAAGGAAGGGGAGAACCAAGAAGAAGAGAAGGACCCCAGTCCTGCAGTGTCTGACAATGATACTGATTACAATGATGGATAATATCCTCCTGTTGAGGATAGATACAAGCAGTTAGAAGACCGTCTGAGTGCCATGAAAGTTCAGAAGATACCTGGACTAGATTTCAAAGAATTGGGATTGGTGTCGGGAGTAGTCATCCCGCAGAAGTTCAAAGCTCTAGTTTTTGCCAAGTATGATGAGGTGTCCTGCCCAAATCTCCATCTCTGCTCTTATGTCCGAAAGATCCAACCCCACACCGCTGATAGAAATTTGTGGGTGCATTTCTTTCAAGATAGTCTGTTAGGGACTCAGCTTGAATGGTTCTACCAGTTAGAGGGAACAAATATCTGAAACTTGGAAAATTTGGCTGCTACTTTCTACAAGCAGTATCAGTACAATGCCGACCTTGCTCCCACTCGTACTCAACTCCAGAGTATGTCCATGCGAGCAGGCAAAGGTTTTAAAGATTATGCACAAAAATGGAGAGACTTGGCTGGGAGAGTTCAACCCCCGTTGTCTGATAGGGAGTTGGTTGATATGTTTCTAGGGACGCTATCTAGGCCATTTTTCAATAATTTGATCGGTAACTCGTCAGCTGGTTTCACCGAGCTGATTTTAACTAGAGAGAGAGTAGAAGTTGGGATTCAA